CCTCCGAGGCTGGGGTAAAAAAATTTAAACAGTAAAAGACCCTAAAAGAATTGTCCTTCGAAGTACTATAATGCATGAAATGCATTATAGTACTTCGAACTGGGAACTGGGGATAGAATTAGTGTCTGACGTCACGTATATTTTCCCGCTAAATTTAGCGGGGAACTTAAATGGTTGTATATGTCACGTGACGTGGATTTCATCCGCTAAATTTAGCGGGAAAACTGGATAGAAGACAGTGATTTCCCCACTAAATTGAGCGGAAAATTAAGGAACGGACTGACAGACATAATTTTGGGATTGGGGGTAGCGTTAAACTGCATATCATGCTTTAAAAGGAAAGGCGGGCGGGTGACAGACAGCACCTAAGCTGAGTTTGAGACGTCCGTGTTCTCTTTCCCTCTGTCTCTTACCGATTGAACTCTCTTTACCGCCAATCCCGGGGTTTGCAATCACGTACAAATACTCCCCCACACTTTAATATATATATATATATATATATATATATATATATATATATATATATATATATATATATATATATATATATATATATATATATATATATATATATATATATATATATATATATATATATATATATATATATATGTGGTCGTAAAAGCACTTTTAAGCCGGGGTCACGCTGCTCAAACATAATGTACAAAAAACAGCCTGCAAACACGAGTCATTGCAATGTCTGTTGTTCGAAGGACTCGTACCAAGTTTTCTCCTTGAACTCATTGTCATGCGGCATTCGAAGCACGGATCTTGTGGTGACTCGCGTACAAATCTGTTTGTAGACTGATTTTTTTTCTTCGTTTTCTTGTTTTATAATGTATAAGCAGTTTGATATCGGCTTTAGGGGTTCTTCGGCTTGTCTATACTTTGCACCCTAAAAGTTAATTTAAGCACAACCTAAAAGGGTTCTCCGTGAAAAACCTTTGTTTTAAGGGGTATTCACACGAGGGAGAAATCCCGGGGATTTCTCCCCGGCACGTGCGCATCACGAGATGAAAACGCGAGGCTTTTGCACATCGCAAAGCCTGACGTTTTCGTCGTGGGGTGCGCGTGCCGGGGAGAAATCCCGGGGATTTCTCCCTCGTGTGAATCTCCTTTTTGTTTTATGCGAAAGAATGGTTTATTGACCAATTGCCTTTCTAGTTTTTTTGTTTTTTTTTTCTTAGAGCGAAGGTTTGTGATAAATTAGAGCGTTGTGCAAGTCAGTTCTGTCTGCGGCGTCGGTGAGGCGGTCTCGTGACGTGTAACTCCTCTGCGAGCTTTCGCCACAATCTTTTCCAGTAGCTCGCAGAGCTCACCACTATAAGACGGTGAGCGACTGAGCGCTCCGCTGACCGCCTCGCTTGTGTAATCCGGCCGAATCAGTTATCCGCGCTCGCTCCGCCTTTCGTTGCCACCTGAAATCGCATTAATTCTCCTTAATTCGCCACAATAAATTGTTGGCTTGCGAAGCTGATATCTGCTGCGCTTTACTAGGATGTGGTTTTTCCTCGCGTGATCCAAGAGGCTGTGTCATTTCTCGTGGAACTGGAGTTCTGCAACACAACCTATACTCGTTATCACACACACACACAATATATATATATATATATATATATATATATATATATATTTCGCACATTTTCAATGCGCTGCACGAAGTAGCTCTTGCAATATTTGGTTGTCGAAGGAAGAAACGATGTTTTTAACGCTTGAGACATGTAGGTGTCGATAAAATAACACAAAGTTCATCTGAGATTCACCTATATAGATCTTAATTCAGCACATCGAGGGTGAGATTTGTAGCGCTCCGCCAAAAGGCGGACTTTTTTTTTTATTATTATTACAGGTTTTGAGGTGAACACGAGCTTGGAATGGTCAACGCGTGCGAACCTTCTCCTCTTCCTCCATGGAACGTCCTCGCAGTCGCTTGTTGTCAACACAGCAATAGACTCTTTTCAAAACCACATCGAGCAACATGGGCGGTCGTTATTAGGCTAGGCGGCGCAAGCTACCGCCCGTTACAAAGGGTATAGCCATTACAATCCATCCATCCATCCATTGGGCACGAGTGTGTGATTGGATCCGTGTCCTCACCGAACGCTGATGTCACACTCGTGTCCAATGCGCACTCAAAGCGTGCCCAAACACTGGCCTACTTAAATCATTAACGCAGCAGCTCTCCAGGTGGCGTGCGCACTTCTGAAAAGGGTCGTCGAAATCCCATAGCGCACCGGCTGTGATGATTTGAGCTTTCTCGTTTTCGTTTTTAAGCTTTAATCTAAGAGTTTAAAACCCTTCAACACAATTTAACACCCCCCCCCCCCCCCCCCGAAAAAAAAGTGCATAAGTGTGAGTCAACATGTGTGAGAGAGAGGAACTGCATGAGCCCTTTGTAGCTGTAATATATACGAAGCAGATCGCTCTCTGACCCAGACCACGTAGTTCAAGCCCAGGATCTGTTTAGGTGGTTATCTTTAATGTGCTTAAATGCCTTGTAAACGCAACCTAAAAAAAAAAAAAAAAAAAAAAAAAAAACAAGAAGGAAAGTACATTATCTTTGGAAATACTTATTAAATGTAAACGACCTAAAGAAAATAACGCGGATGAAGGAAAGACCCGAACACAAGCGGACACTGTTGGAGTACAGACCTGTCCGACTTTCGAAGGGCATAGCAATAAATCTTAGGTGCCTGCTTTTTTTTTTTTTTTTTTTTTTTTACTTACGTTATACTTTTGTTTATATAAGATCCTTTTTTTTTTTTTTTCAAATTATTTCTGCACTATGTAGTGCAAAACGTTCGGTACGGAAGTTAGCCGTGATCTTCCCAAACAGAACAAACACGCAAAAATGGGTGGTATAATTGCCCCCGCAGGTAAAAGTAAAGTGTAATTTAACGATTTCTAAAAGTAATAAGATACCCCGCCCCGTATGACTATACCCGAAGCCAGGAGTGAAAAAAAATCCCAAAATTTCTTACGAAAGCGAGCGGTGACTTGTGGTCGGATTCGTTACCACTATCGCTCAAGACCCTGCTTTTACCGAAATCTCATTCCACTATTTAACGATTTTATGGACTGTTTGAACGTCAGTCTTTAGCTCCTGACCGCTGACATGTATCGTGGCCGGCACGCGTTCTCACGCACATCCCGATGCGGCAAGTGTAATTTTTCGCTAGCGACGTATATATACATGCCAACCTATCGCTTTCTCAAGAGGGCTTTCGCCATCGCGATGTCGTTAGCGTAGCTTGGTGAACCGGTGCTCGAATCGCGAAATCTGTCGATAGCTCGCACTCAATTCAACTGTCCGCGAACATATTCCCCGAAATAGACATGACCGGTTTCTCGTTCTTATGAAACAAAAACTCCCAGTTAACCTTGGTGTAAGACGCGCTTGCGAGAAATATTTTCTCATTTTGCATGGATGGGATGTGTAAGAGCGAAGTAACAGTTTTTTTTTCTTTTTCTTTATAAATCTTTATGAGCAGTGTTTTAAGCGTTTCTGCGTGAACCGCATGAAACCGGATCTTTCCCCCACACTCGTGAAGGTATCGTTCGAATGGCAATGAGACGCCCCATCTCGTTCACGAGCAATAAAAGTGTCAACAAGCTGAAAGACGACGAGAGTTGTAGTTCAAGTAAAACCCACACGGCCGTTTACAAACACGCCCGCGTTTGCCCACGCCAGGGGCGGTCACTGCGCGTGCGCTGAAACGAGATTTGCGTGAAGTAAAGCGTCTGCGCGTGCGCAAGAAAGTCTGAGTCGGTGTGAACGCCCCCGCCGCGAGACGTGGGTCGAGTGTGACGGCCCATGCATGCTCATCGAATCCGGTGGATCCGCGCTTTGATTCCATCGTTACCTAATGTGTATAACGATCACACTATATCTGACATCGCGGTATACAGACACGTCGGTCTATGACACGTCACCTCAAGGCGTCCGCTATCTTCCAATATACTGATCTGACAGAACGAATTTCCTCTTGCCGGATCGGTGAACCTATAGTCGCCATGGTCGTATACGTGTCACATTTGTGGGCGTTTGCAAAGATTAGAATACAAAGGGCAGATAGATTCACGAATCACTTGTTTATAAAAGTGATTAGGTCTTGGAGAAGGCAATGAACGCCCAGAATAAAGTCGAAATCGTAAACGAAGCGTATCCTGCAATCTTGTGCTAACCTCGCTTTGCGGAGCGCAAGTTCGTCTGGTTCTTGCGCAGGGGTTGCGGTGGCATCAGAACGCCGATCTCTGATTGGCTCCGATTGGAACGATAGTGGTTAGATCTCAAGGCAGCTACGTAAGAAACACTGGGCGTGGAGAGTCCGGAAAATCTTGCCATCGCTCCGCACGCCAGTCAGGTTTTGGAATTAACAATTAAGAATGCCGGAGGGCCAATCACTAGGCAAGAAGCGTGAACAGAAGTCACGTCCTGTATTACTTACGCTATCAGCGAACATAGATGAACTTGGTTATCAAACCACACTAACTTTTTTTAGGTTTACACTTCCGCACGACAAATTGCTTACTCACTGTTGCCACCCTGGAACACGGTTGCTCACTCATTGGAGGAATTCAGAAATCTCTCTCGATGTCATCGCTTTGAATCGCTGATCGGCTTCGCCATTCCTCTCGGTCAAGTTGAATTCACAGACAACTGCGGCTGGAGCTTTGGCTTACGAATCTATCATTCGGATACAAAATGAAAATTAGCGTGATTTGTTGTTGTTCTTTGAATTTTCAGTATTATGGTATTTTTGTGTTGCCTTTCTCGTGAATATTTCGTCAGTAAAAGTGGTGTATAATGTGCACCCAGTCAAGTTGGGTTAAAGGTTCTTTGTTTGAGATTCCCTTCATTGTTTCTGCAAAGCAAAGCTTTGATTTGGTTTTAATATGATGGCTAAAAGAAACTTTCAGTTTTGTAGGACTTGCCAAAAGCACGCTGTGAACAAACCCGAAGACATACCAACACGGAACTTTGTTTCTTGTCGTTCCAGGGCGGGCATTCCAGATGGCGCGCAAGGCCAAAACGTCGTTCCAGCACCTCCGGTTCCAGATCCACCTCAAGGGGTCGTCCAACGGGAGCACGTCAACTCAGCGAAGCTTCAGCGTCCGCTACGCCAGGCTCCGGTTGCGAACGATGAGCCGTCGACCGACCCTCATCCGCGTCTACCAGCTGCTCGAGCCGCAGTGCCCCACCTGCGAGCGACGACTCATCAACATCCGCAAAGTGTCCAGAAAAGGACGCCACAGAATGGACGTGGCAGAGGCGGTCCAGGCGTGGATAGACCAGCCGGGTTCCAACCACGGGCTCGACGTCGAGTGCAAGCCGGCCTGCAGGCTGGCCAGGGACGCCGCGCTGGACGTGGAGGTGGCCGAAGTCCTCAACAGGTCCCACAGGAGCTATCAGTACGGACCGCCGGGGGTCCTCCTCCAGCATCACCGGGCCATCGACTGCTCGCACGGCCCCAACAACAAGACCGACCTGTGCTGCCGCCACTCGCTCAAGGTGTCCTTCGCAGAGATCGGCTGGGATTGGGTTGCCGAGCCCAAGGAGTTTGACGCCTACATGTGCAAGGGCCGGTGCCCCAACGATAACCGCAACTTCAACAGTACGCATGCCCTGGTGCAGAGCTTGATGAGCGAGCGCGCGGACGTGCCCAGTCCATGCTGCGCACCGAAGTCCCTTAAGGGCCTCAGTCTTTTGTACCAGGAGGGCCCAAACTCGGACCTGTACACCGTGGCTACGCAGCAGGGCATGGTGGTGGAGGAGTGCGCCTGCCTCTGAGTGCGTTGCGACGTCTTCAACCAAAGATAGTTTGACTCGAGCAGACTCTTGATGAGTGCGTGTCGTGGACGTTTCCGGCCGGAATTCTCGTCGGAGACTCCCGTCGACGACGTGAAAACGTGTGCCGCTTGACGGCAATGCTCGTCCGGTCAACGTTCCTCGTTTGACAAGGCGTCACAAAGAAACACGTGTTCGCTGGGAGACGCATGGAGTGTCTCGATAGAATAGAACGTAGGAAAGAACACAACAAGGCCAAAGGAACTAGTAATAGAAAAAAAACGAAAGAACTAAACGACCATTCTTCTACAGAGTTCTAAGGTCGTTCTGGTTGCGCAGTGACCGTCATCTAGATTGTGCTGCCATCTAGAAGTCAGCTCAGTTTCCAAAAGATAACTCCACGCAGGCACAATCATCCTGCATTCTTAGGAAATGGCGAGCTCAGGCGTCCCATGAAAGAACAATCACACAGTGACGTGGACTGTCACAAACTACGCGAACCAGGAGGATGTCCCGTAGAAACCACCGTAACGTAATTGATCGTTCCTCAGAATATAGATATATCTCCAGTTTATGACAGGCCTCGTGTTCGTGGCGGACTGTGCGTCTTTGAGTGGAGCGTAATGTGGGAAGAAAATAAAAGAAGAAAAAACAGCCCTTCTAGTGTTCAAGTAACCTGTGATAAACGGCGTGATCAGCATTTGGACACTGGGAAGTGCATCCGATCCGCCCACCGTGTGGTGTTAGATGTAGCGTCCTCGCAGAGTACAAGCGTATACATCTCTGTCAAGGCTAGATTCCTATTTGCGTGACGACAAAAAGTAAGGAAAAAGAAGAGGGCATGCAGAGACGGAATTAATTGTGAGAGTTCTCCTCGTGTTGTTACATAGTGTACACAACTTGGTGTGCGTATTATATTGTTCTTCTCGGAGTTCGTGTGTACCAATAAAAGTCTGTCGAGCATGTTACGTTGGGAGTTCGTTTCGGTGAAATGCGACAGCATGTGACCATTTGTTTTTCACATATTCAGTTTCATCTTTTGGTGGGCTGACAATTATATATTTTTTTCTCGTCACTTCTTTATTTTAGGCACTGACAATTTAAGAAACGTAGGGCACGATTAATCCGGAGAATATCATTATCACTCGGCAGCCAATGAGATTGTTTCATTTGCCGATACGAGCATCGAAAAACCAATGATGAGCATAAGGAGCGTGAACGTGGTAAATCGCACCCTGCGCTTCTGAAGGTGTCAGTGATTTTATAGTGGGACACCTTCGGTTAACTGAGTCATATTCACGAAAGATTGTGTCGTCTCTCCGCCCGTTCCTTGCCGCCCGCTAAAGTTCAGTCAAGGATGGAGGGTTGCATGATTCTCGAGCCAGTTGGGAACTTATATTTTTATTTTTTATTCCCCAGGGTCAACTTCGCTGGTTTCGCATACATCACCCCCTTTTTAGTTCCCATAGCCGATTGTTTCTTGTTCGAAGGTTAACGGCGGCAATCAATGGCCATCGTTCAGTTGACGCGACAGGTACAAAAAAATCGCCGGAGGCGCGGCATTTTTCAAACAAACACCGGCAACGCTCAGCGCGCAGGGGCAATGGCCATCGATCATCGCTGGCGCCGTGACATGACTGGTCGCGGCTCGGGTGTCCGAGATAATTGTAGATAGCGGAAAAAACAGTTCGCTTGTCTGGCGCCGCTTCAGCCGTTCTGTTACTTTCTTGTTTTTGTGAACACTTGGAATGACGGAGCTCTTCGCGTAACCGATACCGGATAGGCAAGGTCGTGATATGGCGGTATGAGAATGCGGCACCATTTCGCAGTATTGCGCAAAAAGATTCAGGGCCGCCTTGCTGTGAACGAAAGGGATGGTGAGACTTCAATATTATTTTCTTTGTTTCTTTCTTATCGTGCTGATCTTTGGCCAATCCCTTCCTTGGGTATGCTCCAAAGGCTCGAGGACAATAACAACCAAAGACCATTTACAGTAATAGGCTGAAACGTATACAAAAAAAAAAAAGGTTTCGTGACGTCATTTGTTGCCCCATTGGGGCCACTTTTGATGCATGGGCGGGATAAGACGTTAAACACCCCAGTTGGGGACGCATCCCAGGTACCATAAGCTCTTTTTTTAAAAACGTGACAACTCTGTGCGCCACTGGCAACAATGTGTGCGCTCTCCATTTTAAGGCTAGGTGGCGCAAGCTACCGCCCGATATAAAGGGAACAGCCAATGTCCATCCATCCATCCATCCATCCATCCATCGGTGAAGGAATGTTTCTTTTCTTCGGCCCGGTCGGCTCTGCGTGAAAAAGCGGTAACGGCAAATGCAATTAACCCAGTTCTGTTTTCCATCGCCGGCCGGGAAAATAATTTTGCTAGCTAGCTTGCTAAGCGTGATGCTTGGCACATGAAACTAAACATTATGAAATGTAAGGCCATGAGGATTTCCCGCAAATCAGCACTCTGTCCTAACTACTTCCTATCAAATAGCCTCCTTGAAAACGTATCAACTTACAAATATCTAGGTGTTCATATCTCTTCTGACCTATCATGGAAAACTCACACCGAATATATCGTTAATAACTGTAACCACATGCTTGGATATTTAAGACGTAACCTTTTCTCTAGCTCCATCCTCATTAAAATTACTACTTTATAAAACACTGGTGTGACCAAAACTTGAATATGCATGCTCGGTCTGGGATCCCGGTGCAGAAAGCCTTATATCAGCGCTTGAAGCCATCCAAAACCGGTCAGCACGTTTTATATTATCAAACTACCATCGTACATCAACCGTCACATCCATGAAAGCTAGTCTCTCACTGCCCCTTCTTTCCACTCGTCGCACTATCTCCCGTCTTTGTTTATTTCATAAAACTTACTATGCCAATTCACTCTTGAAAGAGCAACGAATCGGTGCCCCCATCTACGCATCATCTCGCCTCGATCACTGCTGCAAAGTTGATATACCCACTTCCATCTCAAATTCTTTTTTCAAATCTTTCATCCCAAAAACATCTCGTGAATGGAACGGCCATCCCTCATCCATTGCGTCCATTGGCGATTTTGTTATCTTTAAAGAAGCACTAACAAGTTACTATTCATGATCTGTGCCGGACTAACCATCTTCAGCGTTTCTGTACTTCCGTTGCCCACCCCCTCTGTAATGCTTCGGCCCTGAGGGTATAATAAATAAAAATAAATAAATAAATAAAAAGTGTAAAACCTGTAAACAAACAGCTCTCATCATGATGGGTCTGCAAGTAAATTTCGGAGTCCACAAGGCGTCTAGCCCGCATACTTTGCATTAAAAAAAAAAAAAGATGTTTTTAAGAGAAACTTAATGCGGTGCTGTCCCAAAACTGCATGGTGGCATAAAGTAACATGGTGTCAGTGGATGCTTCAGTGACATAAAAACATATAAAAAAAAAACGCGTCTGCAGGGTAAAGATTTCTTCTTTTTTTTCGTCTGGCACGCGAAGTTTGTTAAAGAGCACAGAACGTTCGCAGGACTGATGCGCGAATTCGACTGCTCGTTTAGCCACACCAACAATATCTGTTTATCGAGCAACACAAAGTAAGAGTACAATAAAATACAAACTCGCGAGGCTGGCCGTATTTTAACTGTTGCAGCTACACGTATCTGTTTAAAGTAGCAGTAAAAAAGCCGCAAAGCAGTATACTTCGTTTCAGCTTCGGTCCAGACGCAGCCGATGCTACAAGCGCGAGCATGTGGCCCAGAACAGTGCTTGCACTGCACGAGCGCGCGTGCTTGGCAGGGATGCTGAAAGCCTGGAGCTCGCGTTTGTAGCTTTGGCTGCGTCTGGACCGAAGCTGAAACGAAGTATAGAATTCACTGCCAATATATAACCTCATTAGGGAAATGCATGCAAATTCCTGTGCCAAGGATCCGTGTGCTATTGAAAATGGAGGTTACTAAAGTACTAGAATGTTTTCTTTTTTTTTTGTAAACATAGTGTTTTAAGACAAAAAGCTCGACGTAATCGTTGTTAGGGCCTTGCAACAAACCATTTTATGCCATAGTGCTTCTGTCTCGTTGCTCAAGACCTTTTCATCACCACCACCTAGATTGCGCTATTTCGTTACTATCTTTTTTTTTTTTTTTAATTTTATACACAGTGAGGTATCACCGCAGATCAGGGTGTATAATATGGACACTTGGCTAAACAGTCGGCAAGGACTTCGACCTCCGTGATTAGCCCGCGCCAAGGTTAAGCGCTGCGCGGGTCAATTATGGCCGCCGGGCGCCTCCCCGATTTTTTCTCCAAGTGTCGAGATTAGAGCACTCCGTGTGTGCACGCTGCACACCCTCTAAATGATGTCACGAGAAAAATTGGCGACGTCATATGACGACACGCTAAGCGTTTCTCCGCTACATTAGGCAGCAAAATCGTGACGTCACGCAATGCCCCGGACAACGTTTTTAGATTAGCTCAGTTACGGAACTGTTTTAAAATATTCTGGCGGGCTAGGTGGTTATTCATACTAAATTACAAATAGCGCTAAGGCAAGACAAGGAAAGACGAAGAAGTGGACACTTCTTCGTCTGTCCTTGTCTTATCTTAGCGCTATTTGTTATTTAGTACGGAACTGTTCATAGACGCCGCTTGCACGAGCGATACCCCCATGCCCCGATGATGATGATGATGATGATGATGATGATGATACTGCGGCTGCTCCCTTTATAACGGGCGGGCTCAAATAATCGTGCCCAAGCCTGGGGGTGAATTCAGCGCCCCCTGTGTTGTGTATGATGCCACCAATCCTCCAGTCGTCTTTTCGTCTGCTCGATGGTCTTCCAAAAGGCTTCAGTAGTATTGGCTGCCTCGCTTGTTGACGAGAAGCCCAACGCTGCCGCTAGAGGCGGGACACCCCGAGAAGTTTGCGTGGCGCCCCCTTACGGCGAACCGGGGTGACGTCACTGCGAGGACAGAATTTTTGCCTGACTCGCTCCTCTCGTTCTGCGGAGGCTGTGACGATGTTAGCTTTCGCCGCGCTCGTTTCTATTTAACTTTTTTTGTGCGCGTTTTTTGTAGGAAGTGTACATTTTCATATGTGGCTTTATTGAAGTATGGCCTGCAGCTGCAGGCGAACCTTCTACCAACATTTCAGTCATGGTTGACAGGGCAGGCAACGCATGAATCGCAGCTGGTATGTGAAAATAAAGAAATATAGCCTCAACTGCAGGAGAATCACTAAAGATTTGCATCTTCAGCAATCAATGCTACTAATGGTCTGAATGAATTGACAGGTTATAAATACTATTTCGATTTCTTTTTTTTGTGCGTTTTAAACAAAAACGCCGAAGCAGAAAAGCTGCATGCTGCTCGCGCAACATGTTAAATGTATTCTGGGCCATTGAAAGAGAATCACAATTTGGACAGCCCAAGTACAGGTATAAAGTAAAGAAAGAACGAACACAGGCATTGACAGTTTTTTGTTTGTCTGTTTATATTTCAATAGATTCGACGGGTGCTATCTGTGGACTTCTCTATAATATCGCTCAATTAATGTACAACAAACGTGGGAGAAGATGTCTAGCCCATTATTAGTGCCTAAGGCTCTGAAATTTAGATGCTACTAAATCAGATTGTCCTGAAGCTAAAATACGACAAGCTTTAATCACGCAAACAAGTCACCCTTCAGAGGTTCTACGTTTTCTGCTCTTAGTGCAGCATCTACCACTGGCAGCCGCTCGAATGCTCGCTGTTCCACCTGTTTTCCTCTGTTGTCAGAGAGTCCAGCTGTAGGGAGTTTGGAGGCTGAGGAAGCTTTTAGGGACCTGCAGCAGTGTCTCTTTTGATTGGGAATCAGAATTTATACTAAACGGTGTTTTTGTTTTTTGTTTTTTTTGGAATACACAATGCTGGAATAAAGGAAGAATGCCAGGAAAAAGTATAAACATTCCAAAGTACGGTACTATTGCGGCGCATATTTTGGGCAGTTCAATCCATCTCATACAGGCAACTGGGGGAAATTCGGCCGTTTTTCTTGCTACCATATAAGCTCATTTCCAGTAAATGTGTGTGTTCTAAGAAATAAAACATGGCTGGCAGACGTGTACGAACTATATCATTAATTCACGACGAAGCTACATTGATGTAAAACAACCCTGTTCCACAAGCACTTCAAAGGTCTTCAGACCGGTGGCGTTTAAGACATCTGCGAACCAGCGTATGCAGAGTGGCACGCGCAGACTCGGGGTCACGAGCTAATATGCCGACTGCCCAAATTCCTTTCATACAAATGCCGTTTGAAAAGCCTGCAAAGGGGGATGTAATATCCTTTTAAATCATGAACATACAATAAAATTCCAGCGTATGAAACACTTACGCCGCCGCTTCCCCGACCCCTCGCACGATTTCTTTGTGCCGTGGGAAATGACAAGGAGCTTCATCGGCGCCATTCCCTCCGCCGATAGCTTTTGGGATTTTTATCCCAATTATAAAGGTCAAGGTGACAAGCACGCTTATAGAAGGTACGGAAGCTCGTCGGTATCGGCCTAACCCAGTGTCTTGTACACCGGATAAACAAGGTCCCGCTCCTCGAAGTACTTGTTGCACACAACGGCAGGCCAAACCAGGAAACCAAGGCAGGGAAGCGAGCCGGATGCAAGATCGCGAAGCAGAGTCCTTCCCCTGACGTCAAGGTCACCCAATCATGGCGCGGCGACCTCAGCGACACCTGTGTTCGCTCTCAGGGCTCAGTTCGACGACGGAACCATAGAGTGCCCGGTCGCAGATTTGGAGCGCGAGGATCTGGCAGCACAGAGCATCAAAGAGCCATTGCTCGGGGAATCTAAGGCCCCTGTATACTTAGGGGAATCTGGTTGTCAGCGCACGGCTTTTGCAGCGGCGAGGACCCGAAGCATGGTTTTCAAACCCGACCAGAAAAGAAGCCGTAGCGCGAGGAACGCGAAGAGCACGAGCGGACATTCCATCGCTCGGGAGAAGTGTGTTTCGGCGTCTCGCCGCAGCGGGGCGCCCGTTACATGACTCTCCTTTCATCCGTTGTCCGGCGCTCTATCTTTACAGTTTCGGCGGCAGCGTCTCGTGGCGATCTTCTGGCTTTGTCAGTATTGAGGAGGTTATGCCATCACTCACCACGACTCGCCTCCCATCGCTCGACGCGCCGGACGGCTGCTTTGCTAACTGCAGCGTATTTTATGGAACATGCCAGTTTCGAAGCACAGCGTCTAAATGGCGCTCCCCCTACTCTATGGAACACACAGTAATGAAACGAAAATCTAGATGGCGCTTCAAACGACGGGAGGCGGACAGGAGTGAGTGAGGGGGGGGGGGGGGGGGGGGGGCACCCCCTTCCGCGGCTGTTCCTCAACTGATGTAATCTAGTAACGTTGGTCCCTGAACACATTTACGTCCATGACTATGTCACGTCATAATTTCTTCGCTAAAACTAGCGGGAAGCATTTCCCCGCTAAATTTAGCGAGAAAATTGCGACGTCGCGTGACCAGGTAATCTTTGTATCATCGCTAAATTTCGAATGGTGGGGGAAAGTGATTATATTGAATGGGTTAAAACAGCGCAAAAAGACGAAGGACCAATTAAAGGAAACACGCAGACACAGCGCTGACTTACAACTGAATTTTTACTTCTGCGCCATTCAGCAAGCAAACTTGAAAAGAGATAAATATACAAGCAATCGACCCGATAACACGTCATCTTCCCACCAAGCCGACACGCGGGTACACGTATTTACCCGCCTTTCTGATAAAATTTATCTCATCACTAACCAGGGCAAGTGACGGAACACTTATGCAGATGCCCGCGCCATGGTTGGCAATAAAAAAGCTTCGTCAATCTCCCGAGCATACTGAGCTTTATGTTGGGCTAAAATCTTAATTTCATTAAACATACATTGGAGAGCATGCACATCTGTCACAGCGGACCGCTAAATTGCAAGAGCGTAGGGACAGAGAATGTTCCCTCGCCCGGTCGTTAACACATCTCCCTGTCTGCCCGATGTACACTCTTCCACAGGACAACGGAATTAAATACACCACCCCACATGCGCAGGCGATAAACCGGTCACGGTGCTTAACTTCACATTGTGTACCCGCGCGACCACCTCGATTCACGGCTGCACACAGCCGTCCCAACTTAGCTAGAGCCGAAAACACAACTGGCACGTTGTACCTACTTGCAACCTTCTTGACACCGTGGGACACCTTGCGCAAGTACGGCAAGACCACAGGTCTTACCGTTGGTTTTTGTCTTGCCTCAGAACTAGCAGGCCCTCTAAACACCCTAACCAAGGATTCCACGACGCCCATGACGCGTAATTGCCCATGGCCCATGGTTGCGTAATTTGTGAGCAGCAGAGTGCGCTACGGTACAGCTTCCGGCTCAGTTGAAGTGGCCGTGCAACCATATTCGCTTGGAATGTTGTTCCCTTTACACGAGTTTACTGGCACTAGTGGGACCCAAATAACTCCTTAGTTGCTGTGTAATTTCAAAGACAAAAGCGAGCGTTTCCATTCAATCTCTTCTTCGCGAAACTTGATAACAAAGCTGGGAAGTCGCAGTAACCCCCCCCCCCAGTGATGCTGTTTGAGTGCGGCTCATAGATTGGACCCGAACATTGCGTGAGCACTCGATTTGGGCTCGTGATAATCGATAACTCGACAATCATTCGTGTAGCCCGTGTCCAATCGTTGCAAAGACGTCAACAGCCGAACCATAACAATGTCTGGAAATCAGCGCGTGTCCTGTGCCTTGCCATCCCCAGCGCGTGGCTATATGATCAACATTGGCGGCATATAATCGGCTCCAGATCACGTGGCCGCTTGTTCTAGCTGAAGATTGAGGGGAAGAACGCTGCTTCTTTTTCTTTCATTTTTCTCTGCGATTTATACGCATGGAGAAAAACGAACGAGTGTTCCATGGGTTAATTGACGTCAGGGATTTGTTCTAAGCGGTTTTGTACAAAGTGCAAAAATCGTTTCCAGGGCACGGCAAACAACAGGCATTACTTGTAATTCTGTGCTGCCGGCATCGCATATACTACAAATACATACCACGGTGTCAGGCTAAGGATGAAAGAGGCGGTGCAACGATATTCAATTGGAAGGTTTTTTTCACTTTACACGAGCTTACTGGCAGTAGTGGGACTCAAGGATACTCACATGCAACACCACTGACCAAGAAACTCCTTTGTTGCACTGTAATTTCAAGGACAAAACCGAGCGTTTTCATTCAATCTCTTATTGAATGTGGCTCATAGATTGGACCCGAGCATTGCGTGGGCACTCGATTTGGGCTCGTGATAATCGATAGCTCGAGAAGCAGTCGGGTAGCGTCCTGTGTACAATCGCTGCAATGACGACAACAGCCGAACCATAACATGCATCTGGAACGCAGCGCGTATCCTGTGCCTTGCCAACCCCAGCGCATGGCTATGATCAACATTGGCGGCATTTGATCGGCTCCAGATCACGTGGCCGCTTGTTCTGGCTGCGAGTTGAGGGGGTGAACTCTGCTTGTTTTTCTTTATTTTTTTTTTTTTTGCGACTTCGATTGCGTGTGGTGAAAAACGAATCGGCATTTCACAGGTCATTAACGTCAGGGATCCGCTCTAAGCGGTATTTCCGCAAAATACAAAACTCGTTGCATCGCCCCTTCAAGTAGAAGCTGCACCTTCAGCACGCGCTCGTTGACATCCGCCACGCTTGGGACGAAGCGTTATCTAAGGCAGAAAGCTCACGTTGAAGGCGGAACATCTACACAATTCTTAAACCGTCACCGGATATACTGTAGCCTCAGATAGGGGCGTTAAAATAATTTATAAATATAATCGATTAATCGGTTAAATATTCATGGTCTAGACCCTGAGATATGGAACGACAAAATAACGGGCGTTATTTTATTTCTTCGTGTGTCCTGGTTTAGATTATTATCCTTCCTAACCAGCTGGCCTGCGTACTTTCGCTCATTGTAAGATTCCCTAATCGGTGCACATATCTTTAGTCGCAAACAATACACGAAATGCGGGACCTCAGCACCCTCTCTTTAATTAGTGCCATTAAGGCACGCTTACATTTTTTTTATCACCGGGCAACGAACTAACTAGAGTAGTTTACGCAGGGTTGAGAGCCTCGTAGTGGAAAAAAAAAAAATAATTAACCTTTTCTTTATTTCCGCAAGATGCTCTTGGGTGATCCCCCAGCGTCGTCACCCTTGTTCACAATCACCTCGGGAACTGCGTCACTCACGACAGCGCTGCGTCTTCTCAGTGCGGGTCTCGGAGGCTCGGCCGCCTCAACCTCCGGCGGAGGCAGGGCGGGAAGCGGCGGAAGTGGCGGAAGGAAAGTCGGGGCCAGAGGGTAGGGCGGTTTCGGGTCTAAGGGGTAAGGTGGACCCGAGTCCTCAGGCGGATGTCCAGGTGGGTCCAAAGATGGACCGCGCGGGTAAGGTGCAGGTGGAACTTGGTGTTCAACGGGACCAGGGTTCGGGTAAGGTGGAGGTGGAACTTGGTGTTCAACGGGACCAGGGTTCGGGTAAGGTGGAGGTGGCGCTTGATGTTCCCCAGGACCAGGGTAGAAGGGACCTCCTGGTTGAACGGGGTAGCGGACGGGGGGAGGGAGAGGGTTCAGGCAGGGACCCGGGGGCTGGACTGGGATGCCAGGGATGAGGACTTCGTCCGACTCGTCGTGGCGGCGGACAAACATGCGGCCGAGGAGGCCGAAGCGCATCGGAGACTCGGAGAACTGGGGGCCCAGGGTGTTGGGGTGCACCGTGGGCAGGAAGTTGCTTACCTGGGTGGTGAACAGAAAGAAAGAAAGAGATAGAGCAAGCGATAAACTGCTATGAGCGAATAAAGACCTCTAGTTGCGCGCAGTGCTTTGAAAGCCACGGGAGTGAGAGAGAGGAAAGCCGCTCTTGTGCGAATTTTAAGTGACAGGAAAATCTTCAAGGGGGACAAGAATGATGTCCGGTATACACAAAAAACGGTCCGGGGAAAAGAGAAGGGAGAGGAGGGGTCCTTCTTTCTCTCCTGCCTAACTACTTGGGCTACGCTCTCGCTTCCCCTTTGGATAAAAGAACGCCATCTGTCGCAGGGAAAGGAAACTAGCCCCCAAGGCCATCTTGAAGGGTACCGCGCCGCTCGTGCCAGTCTGCGAACGTTCCAATGTTGCGATACTAATCACAATACGTGCACGTTTTGTTGTGTAAAGCCAGATGGAGAGAGGTTTGGTTGCCCGAATTAGCGAAGAAGCTGTTTTTGTCTTGTTCTGCCGTGTAAGTCAGCCACGATGGGGAGGGATGGCGACTGCCCGTTGAAAAGGTCAGATCCGTTTGACACGAAGATAAGTGAGCCTGATACACTACAGATAGAGTATTGTTATTCATGAAAAGTATGCGGCCATCGGTTGTTGAAAATACGGCTTTATGTCTGTGGAAAGTTGCGTTCGTAGACATGGAAGATAGGTAAAACTAAGGCCTCGTGTGCTAGTCTGGCAGGTTTAAACAGAGGATTAATTACAGCGTTCACACTGCCAAGTACAATTCAACGTTACAATATTAGAGTATTTTTGTAGCTAATTTGTGTGCCAATAGTTTCCCAAGGATTGGTCATTTTAGCAACTAAGGTTCGGCGAAGCGTGGGAAAATTATTCGGCCGTGAATACAACCTACTGAACAAACAATTAAAATCAATTTCGTGCAACAGATTTTAAGGTAAGTACGTTTTTGTGTGTGCGTGTGCCAATGTTAGCCTCTGGTAAAACTTAAAACAACCCAGAGAGAATTGCGATATAATCAAATTTGGCTTTGACATACCCTGTCTACACGGATGATGTGCTATAGTAAGTTACAACTCAAGAAGGTAGGGCGGGGGAAAGGAAAGCTGGGGAGGAAGAAGCAAACGGAACGCTAGAAAGGAGGGGGCAAACGTCTCACTCTCTCCAGCGTTCCGTCTGAAGCTTTCCCCTCTCTAGCATTCGCCCTAGTAAAAAAATTTCTGGGTATAAAAAATTGTTTGGTCCAATAAACGCATATGATAAAAAAATATCAGATAAGAGCAGACAAGAACCTTATAAGAACAATATACGTACGATTATATGAGAAGTTAGAAGAAACTGATTAAATGTTTCTTATAACTTTTTCTCGCCGCACCTTCTTCAGTTGCAACGGACTATAGCGCCATCTATGCAAACTTTAAAGTACACTGTTTTTGCCAAACTGTTTCTATAGGGCAAAACGCGACCCTGACGTCACGCAGCTGCGGTGGCGCTGTCGACGGCAATGTGCATGAGCAGACGCTTCACTTCACGCGAATTCAGTTTGTGCGCACGCGCAATGCCAACATGTGGTGTGGGCAAACGCGGGCTTGCTTGTAAACAGCGTGCTAGCGAGTTCGGCGGTCAGAGGACTCGCGAGTGCAGCGACTAGCAATCGGTGGGCCCGTAGTCACCGGATCACCGACAACTGTGCACTGCTTGTTACATAAACTCGCGACTGATCGAAAATAGACTCTGGAATAACAGGATTATGTAACCGCAACTTCTTCTACCCTCCCGTAGCCACGAACCTCCACTTACATTTTACAAGAAAGTGGCTGCGAGCGCATCACAAAAACGCATAAAGAACGTTCAAAGAAAAAACCCTCTCTCATTAAAAAAAAAATTAATGGCGCCACGTAGTCTCTTGTTCTTACCCAGAACAGATTTTTTTTTTTTTTTTTCTGAATGCGTAAAAAAGAAATGAACTCGTGCTCGGGCGACGTAAACAAACCGGGGGCACCCTTCAAGACGGCGTCTACTGCCCAGTGTTGCCAGCCAGATCTCGCTTTCTTTCACTGTTGTCAGACTTTTTGAGAGGGGTCTATACCTTTTGAAACGCTGCACGTAACGGGAGTCGGAGACAAGATAGGAATTCAGGGGAGACTTTTCACACCTCTTTCCACTTAAGCAGAGCGAACGCTGGTCACCTCCTTTCCAACGTTCACTCTGCTAAAGAGGTGGGAGAAGCTTCCCTTGAACTCTTTAACCTGTTACCGACTAGACTATAGTGGGATACAGTGTAGGAAAGCCGCAGTGGGGTAGGCGCTAGATGGCGATGCGGGAATGATGGTAGTGCAGCTTGCAAGCCACGCTGTATCGATAGAGCGTATCGCATACTTTGCTCGCCTTAAAAAGCTCGCACAAGGAGCCGTACCGCACCCACAGTATACCCAGAGCCGTGTGTAGAGAGAGTTTGGTCAATAGGAGGCGCGGGCAGAGCCTGGGCGTGCACCAGATGCAGAAAGAGGGCTTGAAGTGCCCTCTTGACCAACCAGGAGCTGAAAAGAATCGCCTAGCGGTGGTGGCGAGAAACAGTTTCAATCAAAGGTATATGGTTTTAACAAGTGCGTAAGAGTTAAATGTAGTAACCCTTCGTGGTTGCAAATAGGGTGCACGTGATGTTTCGATTATGATCATGCAAAAAGATGTAAGAAATGAATGTGCCGCTCGAATTCTGTTTGCGAACTCTGTTTTGCTCAGACAGAGTGTGACCGCTCGGACGGCAGATTCCTGGCCCTCGGCGCCTGACGTACGGATTATGTCAATCATGGTGGAAGAGTTCCGCTCTTCCACCATGATTTTGGATGACCGTGTTTGAAACATCACGTGCACCAATTTTCAGTCACCGAGAGTTACTCCGACGCGCTTATTATTTTTGTTTCTTATGACCACCGCCAGGGTATTATTTCCGACTTCTGGTTGGCCACATTCGAATTTCTGAAGACGCCCTGGAAAATGCCCTGCACGCTTTCCGGCCGATGGCGCCCCCTCATTTGTCTCCTTTTCTTCCCAATGAATAGACAAACTGCCTACATATACGGCTCTGCGTATACCTAGCAAACGCACTGCTAATACAGCCTCATGTATCCATAAAATACTTTCATGCCTATATTGCTATGAACTAAATGCATGCATACACCCACAGATTTCATGTTAACTGGGCTACGCACGCTGCGAAATGCACGTGGACATGCGAGCACGTAGCCATCTTTGCTACAGTGTCATTAAACGAACAATTAGTACTTAAATAAACGGCATTTTTGACGTCTAAACGAAGCGCTCTTATACACCTTTTCCTAAAAGCGTTTCTGATGGCTGCCTAAAGGCTAGTTCACACATTTGCAACGGTTGCGTTCGCATGCAACCGAGACGACTGTAACGACCATTGCACCGCAACAACCCTGACTCACGCATTGCTTCGCGCCTAAGCTACCCTTTGCATAGCTTGCCATGCTGTGTACGGCGAGCACTTCTCCCGATGACTTTGCCGCACGGGTCTTTTCGGTTGCATACGAACGCAACCAACGCATATGTGTGAACCAGCCTTTAAGGATGATTGTACCGTTTGGTGCGAGCTTTCATCACTTGCCTTTTTGGTAAGGTCACGTGATCGGACTGTTTCAATTTCATGCTGAACAGTTACCATCAAGTCCCATAGAACGAACTTTTAACAAACAAAGCCCACAGGTCTGGTCTGCTTTACCACAAGCCATGGGAACAACCAATCACTGCCGTTCACGGAAACAGGCCAGCGAATAGCGAGGCACCGATGACGATTAAATACCAGCTCAAATCGGATTTCTGAGACGCCGTTGACTCTTCGTCATTCGCTGCTTTCTTTCCCTAAATGGTAGAGTTCCGCGTGCTCCGTGGTAGAGTGGGCGTGCAGGAAAGCTCGTACTATCTGCGGGACATCGCGGCACTTTTTGTAAAAATCAGCGCATATATAGACCATTCCAATTACCGCTTTCGGCGTCTCCCATTCTTGCCTATTGGGCTCTCGAAAGCGCTCTGCGAATACCCAATGGCGCTCTTCTGCCCGAAACCAGCCGCTTCCTACGCGTCCACATCATAATGACTCAGCATTTTTCGCCCGGGTGGTAAGCTCTGACAAGGTGTATACATCACGCACCAGAGGACGCGGTGGACGCTGGACCGGCCGGTAGCGGTACCCAGGGATGCCTGGCAAGGAAGACCTCCGCGTCAACGGAGCCGCTGGAGTGGACTCCAGGGGAGGCGCACTGGGCTCCCGACCAGGCAGAGCGCGCTCCGGAGCCACGTCGGCCCTCCTCCCGGCGTCGCCACCCACGCGAGGCAACGAGACCGCCATCCTGGACAGGTCCAATCCGGGCAGGTTCGGAGGCAGCGCCCAAAAGCGTGCCACGTCCTCGAGGTTGTCCACAGGCTGGTCCGTCGGAGCACGGGCGGGTTCGGCGGCGAACACGACCGTCACGGCGGAGTCTGGCGGGATGGTCTTGGGTGCCACGTAGCGGACCGGGAACAGGGAGGTCATGGCCACCAGGCCCCTGTTCCGGAGGCGAGCCTGGTACGCGTTGAAGATGGGAGGTTCCTCCGGACCCCACTTGTAGGAGGGTTGGAGCGCGTCGTCACAGTTCTGCGGCGGGGACAGTTCCGGAAGTTACAGAGGAAAAAAAAAGGCGGATCTTGCGGAATAACTTGGCTTTAACAAAAAGTCCCGGTAACTATTACTGACAAAAAAAAAAGTGAAAGCCGTTTACCACTGTAACGCCGAATTGGAGCGCAGCTCTTGAGGAGGAGGCGGGAAGTGTACCGAGGGCCACGGTTTCTCGGGGGTCACGTGACATAGGGAAAAGGGTCACACATTACCCCCCACCCGAGGGCACGTGACCTTGTTGGGGTCACGTGACCTCAGGGGAGGGGGTCCACGTGGAGGGGGAGTCACGTGCCCCCCGAGGTCACGTGACCTCGGGGGAGGGGTCACGTGACCCCGTGACCAATATTTCCCCGCTAGATTTAGCGGGGAAATTTTTCCACTAGATTTAGCGGGGAAATTTTTTACGCTAGATTTAGCGGGGAAATTTTTTCCGCTAGATTTAGCGGGAAATTTTTCCGCTAGATTTAGCGGGGAAGGTTTTCCGCTAGATTTAGCGGGGAAATTTTTCCGCTAGATTTAGCGGGAAAAATTTTCTGCTAGATCTAGCGGGGAAGTTTTTCCGCTAGATTTAGCGGGGAAATTTTCCCGCTAGATTTAGCGGGGAAATTTACCCATAATGCACCGCGCGGTTACGCCGACGGCGACGGCGGCGGCGACACCGCTCAAGCCGGGAACGGGCGCCTAAGAGCTGCGCTCTAAAAAAGCATCATACAAAAGACAAAGTGTTCGCTGCAGATATAATGGCAAAAGTGTTACACGCGTCAAGCATGTTCGAAGTATGTTTGCCTTCATGTTTTTCTCGAACATGCCTGCGGGCAGTTTTTTGTATAAACACCGTGACAGGCCCGTCATACCAGGGAGAAACACGCCTTGGACAGTGCCTTCAGGCCGCCCTTGTATTATAGCAGCGTAACCGCGGCTTTAGGTCGCCAAACTTCTCCCTGATATCCTGTCCAGGAAAAAGCACAACTCACCTCGAGAGTGCTCACTACCGTGCCAAGTTATGGTGACGTCATGTGAACTGGTCGACGGACCCCGTCCCATCATTCACACTAAATTTAGAGGGATGAAACGTCACATTACACCCTGATGTCACGTGGTACTCTGGTTTCGGGTGTGCGCGGTCTGTCCGCGACATTAAATTTATTTTCAGAGTCCCTCCACCCCCTCCCTTCCCACCCCCCAAATGATTCCCAACAAAGCGAGCATTCCTCAAGCGCTCGGCCGTCCAGACGAAGAAAAAAGGAAAAAGACAAAAAGGAAGTGAAGAGGTTTTCTGCCAGAGTGTGAGGATGTCGCACAATGCCTATTGGAAGCGCTCCTTGTTCCTGTCTAACACCCGCGGGCCGTGGGTTGCTGACCGCTGGTTTACACTATCAGCAAAAGAAAAATAAATAATAATAATAATAATAATAATAATAATAATAATAATAATAATAAGAAGAAGAAGAAGAAGAAGAAGAAGAAGAAGAAGAAGAAGGAGAAGAAGAGCAAGAACAAGAAGAAGAATAGTTTTGATTTTTTTCATATGCATGAAAATGAATGGGCGTCGAGTCATCGATTAATTAATCGATTAAAAGGCGGAGATGCATCCGGTAAAATGTTTAATCGACGTCCAGTCATCTTGGCTAGTTATTATAAAAACATTAAAGGAAAATACAACTGGTTCTTGTTTGCACCCACTCGATGTCGACAAGAGCGAAATGAGCCCCCTGTCTGAAACTTCCTGGTCACCTATTTCGAGACTAACCAAGAGACAGGGTCAGGCCTGTTGCACGTTGGTATTATTAGGAAGTTTCAGTAGACCGTACGCTGCGGATTGCAGGCCCAGAATGGCGAGTGCTTAATCTATGTTTCGAATTGACGACACCAGCAGCTCGAATTTTGCGTACTGTCTACTTAATGTCTTAATCAATGTAAACATCACGACACGCTAAAACGACAGTGGAGGCAACATGGTAGGGGGAAAAAAATCGGTGGTTGCTTACAAAGTTTTGCCTTCTTAACCACGTGATGGCCCAGACTGGAATCAGGCCGAGGCTGAACATGAGCATCAGGCATCCAGCGATGTCGGAGTACAAGGGAAGCTTGTAGTCCAGCAAGGTCGTCGGGATTTTGACCAATATTCCGGACAGGCATGCCAGCTGAAAGGGTTTCAAGTTGCATTGTCTTTTCAGTTATTTTTTTAAAGGGCGTAGAGCCATCATATCTTAGACCTCTGCTACGCTGCACACGTTCAGAGAGAGAGAGAGAGCATCTATACCAATCATCTGTAAAAACCACCACCATGATGATGTCAAATGCCCATTTCAAATGATACGCATGGCAATCGCTAAGCAGCAATCGGTACAAATATATGGCGACCATCGAACAACGCTACGCATCAAATTACCTTTTCTAGAGCCGGTAGATGGATGGAAAGATGTATACCTTACTGCAAAACTCAATATACCTTTTCGCTATACGAACTGTGGAACTGGAAATCTAACTGGAATTGTTTTTGGAAACCTTTAATCCAGATTGCAGACAAAGAAATAACTTCGGAAAACCCAAAATCAAGGTAGATTTCCATTTCCATAATCCAGGAAACGAAAAGTTATATGGGGTTTTTTGGGGTAGGGATACGGCTGCACCCTCTAAATTGGACGGTGGCTCGCGCCACCTAGACAGTGCACAGTCGCCTTTGCCAAATGTACAGTGAAGCCCTTTACATGCGAGTATCAGGTGTTCGGCCGTTTCCTTCTTATCTGCGCAAGCAGATCAACATACTTTAGCTGTGGTTTCGTATTTCGCTCTGTACATCTTGGCTCGCAACGCTCCCGTTTTCTGACCTCAAATAATAAGAATAATATTAAACTTTATTTTCCATTCAAAATACGTGAATGGCGGAAACAAGAAAAATCCGTAAAACGGCTTGACGAAGCCCCTTGCTTCTTTACAGCTTCATACGCACAAAAAATTCAGGCTGTGAAATTGATCGATTAACCTACCGAGTAATCGAATAATGATTTAATCACGATTAAAGTTTTTTTTAACCGGGTAATCGGTAAAAATGGGACGAACCAAAATAAAATAAACATTAAATTCTTTCACCACGCAAAAATGGACGAGTACACAAACACAAAAGGCAAAATGTAGCTAAAATTTTAACCTAAAGTAAACAGTGAGGGTGAGATTTGTAACTCGAAACAAGTGCAGAAGGTTACACCTGTAACGGCCGTTCCAACGTCGTGAAATCAAAGTAGGCCACTCTTACCGGAGAATATTCACGAAACTCTGCCTCAGGCAGCTTGAGTAATAATCCGTGAGTGTGAGTGTCTTTGAACCTGTCTCAACCACACATCGAGGTTGATTCATAATCGAGGTTGCATATTGCGCGGTTTATCAGATATTCAGAAAAATAAAAATATGTATATATATAAGTAATCGCGGCTTGAAAAGAAAGTATTATGCATAAAAATGAACGAGACCAATTAATCGAATAATTAGTCGATTAAAGATAAGCGATTATTGGGGTGAAAGTTTTAATCGACGTCCAACCCTACAAAAAATAGAACATAGCAACAGCATAAAACATATCAAAATACAGAATACAACTCAACATGTGAAATAGAAAACATATTAACTTAATATGTTTTCATGTTATAACATAACATAGAATTATTATTTTGACAAAACTCGCGACGGTTCTCTCTAGAACTGCCCAAAAATAATTTCTCAAGCAATATCTCTCTTAAATTGACTGAACGTCGTCGAAGCTGCTTTAGTTAAAATTAAAATTTAAAGTGTTATTTTTGCAGACGTACACTAGAAGGCTATCCCAGACAAAATGCTAAGGGCAGCTTGACAACGGCGTCTGAGAATGGCCGTTACACGCGCTACAGCTTCGAAAACAAACAACAAAACCAACCAAACCATCTAATCACACATTATGCATCAAAACATGACACACTATCGAAAAAAAAAATGTATAAAAAACATAAATAAATAAAAACATACATAAAAACAATAAACAATCTAGATAAAATAGGAACGTAAATCGGCTCCTGAAATCAGTAACATACGTCTATCCTATAATTCCCTGTCTGCTGCCTTAATACCCCATTCACACGGCTAGCAAAAAGGCACCTTATACATAGATCTCCTTGCAATCGGCGAATCAGTCCGCGATTTTAGGTCGCGAGTTCGAAATTTTCGCGCGGAGGATCGTCAACTGATTCGCCGCCGACCATAACGGTCTCTTAACTACAAGGACCTTCATGAATGAGTGAATGGGGTTCCCTTTTTAAGTGGCATGGCCTGACATGCATTCATATTGCCGCCCAAAACTTTCAATCGAAGTTAACTAGTGGCTACCTTCATCTTGTGCCGACACTCCCCATGTACAAATAGCGAAAGCCTCATCGCGCCTCCCTCGTCAATATTTGTTCTATCTTCAAAATATATCTTACTAGAAGCTTATCTGCCTTCGAATGATGACTATCTCAAATTACCTTGTACCCCTTGTTCGGTGTTTTGCTTTGTTCACCCAGAGATTGTCTGAGCACCACGTGTTGCATTATTTCACATTTTCCCCCCTTGGCGAGCTGGTGTCATACAAAGAACTCCAATCGCAAAAACCTAAACTTAACATCATGACGAGCTCTCTCCGGAATATCCCTCGCCACTTCATAGCTACTAGAGTCCCACACTACTATATTTCGCATTACAGCTGCATTTCCTTACGAAATGGAATTTTTTTGTTGCTCGTAGGCGCCCGGGCGACTAAAAATTTCCGACCGCAGGCCAGCTTCCCCAACGGCCGGACCAGCGTTACTTTAGGATCAGCCAGCCACATCTATACCATAGCCTCCTCTATGCTCACAAAGCTTGGCACTTTGACGACGGAGCCATAGAGTGCCCGGTAGCAAATTTGGAGCGCGAGGATCTGGTAGCACAAAGCATCGAAGAGCCATTTATCGGGAACCTGGACGTCAGCGCACAGCTTTTGCAGCGGCGAGGACCCGAAACACTTGTTCTGTCGGGAGAAGTGAGTTTCGGCATCTCGCCGCAGCGGGGCGCCAGTCACGTGGCTCTCCCTCTCATCCGTTGTCTGCCGCTCCACCTCTTCCATTTCGGCGGCCGCTTCTCGTGGCGATCTGCCAGGCTTTGTCGGTATACAGGAGCCTACGTCTACACCAGGGTGTAAGATAGACAGGTGGGGAAACGAGAGCCCAATGAGCGACCGGATTGTGTCCCCCTCGGTTTTCTCTTTTTCTGTGGCGCCATCTATGTGGACCACCGCGAACTCTCACTCCGGGTGAGCGACCGATGGTGTCCGGCTAAACTGACGGAGATGGTTTCTCGTGGATTTTCAATTGAGGACTGTCGTGCTCTCGGTTTATTTTGCGCACTCTCCCATAGAGTTCCACGCAAATCCGATTCCGATCTTTTTCTTCTCGCCGCAGCGCCATCTGCCGCAAGTAGGGGGTACCCGCAAGCAGACGAGTACACAATCCGGTCACGGCGCTGCGGTAGGCTTCTATGGGCCGTTTCCCCACCTGTCTATCTTACACCCTGGTCTACACGCATGGTGGCCAAAAGCACCAGGGCACGCGCACCTCGCGCGCTCGCTTCCATCATAAGGTAAAACGGAGGCGGCGCGCGGACGCTCGGAGACGACGGGCCCACCCGCTATGTCACTTCGTTACATGATCGTCCACGTTAATTTAAATGTAGCTTCTCTTTCTCGCAACCCTTGGCTCCGTGTCATTCCTCCGGTCACCTAAAGAGGCGCCAAAAATACAAGGACGAGGAAGTAGACAGACAAGAGCGCTCTTGTCTGCCTACTTCCTTGTCCTTGTATTTTTTGCGCTTCTTTAGGTGATCGTGAACCAACTGGCCCCAATTGCTACCTTAATGCATTCCTCCGGATCCGGCGAGCCGTGAGACTAACCGACCACGAACTTGACGGCATAAATTGCTGAAGACTTTCTTTAGTCCAGGAGGTGATCTCTCAGGAAGCGACTCGAGGAAATTTATGCTTCCTGCAAGGCCACGCACAACTAAACCGCCATTGCTTAATGTTGGACCGTATTTCCATATTATGTCCATCTCAATCACAGTTGACGAGTCACACTCAAGCGCCTTTCTAATGAAATGGCGTATTTGTGTGTGTGTGTGTGTGTGTGTGCGCGTGTGCGTGTGTGTGTGTGTTTGTTTGTGTGTGTGTGTGCGTGTGTGCGTGTGCGTGTGCGTGTGCGCGTGTGTGTGTGTGTGTGTGTGTGTGTGTGTGTGTGTGTGTGTGTGTGTGTGTGTGTGTGTGTGTGTGTGTGTGTGTGTGTGTGTGTGTGTGTTTTCTTGAATCGCTGCTACTCAAAGTTTGTGGTTCGACCAAAGATAGACATCTTTATCGACGCCGAGGGCAATTTGTTGAGCTTGCCGAGGAGGAAAGAACTAGGACTGCATTGGAACACCTGTAAGTGCCTTTGACGCCAAGATTCAGTGAACGTGTACCTATCTTTGATCTCAGTATTTTTAGACCGCTCTTAGATGACATAAATCCTTTTATAGCTCTTTAAAGGAACTACAGAGACATCTTTAGTGCATCTTTGGCAGGCGATGGAATAGATAGGCGAGGGTCTTACCAGCAGCATCAACGGAATCAAAAAACCCCAGAGGGCCTTGTAGATGACAGCCGACGTGGCCGAGTACATGAACTCGATGTCGAAGATGATTCGTCTTGTGGCTGACAAAACAAACAGACAGGCTAAAGACACGGTCTAACTCCAGATATGTCAAGATACATTTTACAAACCACGAAGGGATCATAAAACGTTTCTTTATTGAAATTAATTGCCCATGCTCAGAAAAAAAAAAGATTACGTTCATTAAAGAAGGCATAAGACAACATTTATTTCGAATGTTAAGAACTGCCTATCCCGTTTTGGCACACAAGAAAATGAGCAGATTGGGAAAAGGAGGCGGGTGAGGGGGGGGGGGGGGGGGGGGGGGGGTCATGAAGCCGTAAATGTGATTTTTCCAGCGGAACTTCGAAAATAAAAACTGGTTTGTTTTAATTCCCTATTTTAGAACTCAACAAAATTGGGTGTGTTAAGTAACGAAGGATTTTGTTAGAAATAAGTAAGATTTGTTTTAGAAAAGTCTATCTTTCCACAGTTGCGTCGGCATCGTTCTTTTTTAGCTTTCTTTGTGAGTGTTGGCGTTTTGGAGGGAGCATTTGCGTGGGCAGAGCGGCCGGGAGGGGGGAGCGGTTTCCCCGCGGTCGTTAAGAAACCTCTCGGGTTTCGGGAGTCTGCTCGGACAGATCCCTTCTTGCAGCTGGTGGTGGCTATTAGCCGAATGTGCCTGTATATAGAGGGTTTTGCCGCTTAGTGTAATATTGTCGCTTTATGCCCGATGCAATAAATTAGCGGTTGGCGCCAGTCAGACTGGAAAAATTGCAGAGAACAACTCTACAAGGAATTTAGGTTTGGCGGTTGGGAAGCCAGGATGACAGCTCGCCGACCATTGGACGACAGTGTACCACGTGGGAGTGGTGAAATTTGAAGTGATTGGTCCTTCTCTGGAGGGAAAGGAGGCCTCTACGAGGCTACAAAAGGGCTGCCGAGAGGATTCTCGGGGGAATTCAGCTCTTGACCCTTACAAAAATATGAAACGAGTTTCAATTGAAAGTAATTCAATTGTATAGAAACTCAATTGAAACTCATTGACCATTTTTGTAAGGGGAGACTGGGGACTAAAGTACGGGGTTTTAATTTTGGAAGTTTTGTATATTACCGTTGACTTGTCGTTTTGTTTTGAAAATAAACGTGGCCACACCACCGTAAACCTACCAACGTCGTAATGTGTCCAGCGGGATCGAACAACTTTTAGTTGTTTTTTTTCTTATACGACTTCCCGAGGGACTACCATCGGGCGAACACCATCATCGGTCGTCACCATCCTGACCGGGCCCCTTCCCCCTCGGAAAGTTGACTGGGTGAGAAGCTGATTTGTCATAATGCCATTTTGATGCTAGAAGCGGACCACCAATTCTTTCAGTCTCTCCTTCACAAATATTTTTCACATAGTCGCAGTGATCCCAACAGGGCACCAACCTAGGAAAAAAAATCTTATATGTATAAGACATTTCTTGTTCCAGTAAGTGCATGTGATTAAATAAGATAATTTAAGAGCCTACAAGAAGCTTATGATAACATATAAGAACAATATAACATTACATAAGAAGTTGTAAGGAACTTTTTATCGGTTTATTTTAACTGCTTATGTAATATTATATTGTTCTTATATGTTCTTATAAAGTTCTTGTATGCACTTACGTGATATCTTATTTAATCATATGCGTTTATTGAACCAAGAAATTTCTTCTACATATTAGATTTTTTACTAGGGCTAGGCACGTCAAACAAAAATTTGGGGCCAAATTCTATGGAGCTCGCCAATTAGACATTTGCAGCGATGACGCAGAGCTTTTCTCGCCCAAGTCCGACCGGCGTGTCCGCAAACTTTTGGCTCCAACTTTGTGTTTTACGAATCTTCAGCCCCAGGGTGACGAGAGTTCAATATCGCTTGTTAAATAGCAGTCTGTTTACAAATAATTTACAGTAAAATATCGGTAGAGATCGGAGACGAGCTGCGCGAGACCGGCCAACATGTCGCTCGGACGATATCAGAAACAGTGCGTAACTCGAGCAAATGGCGCGCGTCTTGGCACTGGCTGAATAAAGGCTACAAAGCCCCTTCATAACACGGCCTCATGAACTGAACAGGAGCTACGTGAGCACAACACTTGGACTCCATTACAGTGGCTACAATCAATTTCTCGGCAAACATTTTTTGAATTTGGACATCTGTCCAATCGCCGCGGTGATGGGAACAGCCCAACTCTGCTCCTTGAGGTACATCGTGCGACACTGCTAGTGCGAACACGACATCGGTGCTTTTTCGAATTTCACTCCAACCTCTCATCGAAGAAGAAAATTTTACCACTTAATCCCAAATCGACACTTTCCGCCGCACTAGTAGTTTTTCTTTTTCTTTTTTTTCTAAAAATCTTTCGATGTAAGAGAAAAACAAGACAAACTGACGGTCGCTTGTTCGCGCTATCAGTGTCGCGCAGTGCACGTATTTATTTCTTTTGACATACATGTCTGTATTGGATGTAATGTCTGAGCACGATTATTCGCAGAGTCATAATGCGGCTGCACCGCCGCAGGTCCGGTACTCACAGTAACCCCACGAGAAGAAGACAGCTTCCACGAGGGCGAGTATAACGAAGAAGGACGCCCCGAAGTACGACTCCAAGAATTGCATGAAGTAGGGGCCGGCCTGCGACGTGCCAGAGGTAATAAAAACATTTAAAAAATACTACGAAAAAAACACTCTACAAAACACTCACAATACACCAACGCAATGCCCTTGATACAAAACTCAATTTAGTATTTCTTTTTCATTCAATCGCACAAGTCGTTTTTATTAAAATCAAATCCAACACCTGTCGTCGAATCCACTCCGGATATACAACTTGTGCAGCTCGTCCCTGTTTGATTTTCGTTCACGGGAGAGCTCTTTTTTACTTCTTCGGCTGGGACCTGTTTGCGAACCTGGCCAGAAATAATTCGGCAAGATCTGACAGTGTGACTACACTTTGTTTCAACGCAGTTTGGCAAAAAAAATCCTGGAACCTTGACCAGAAAGTCGGAACGCCAGAGCGTGGCTTATGACAGCACTTGTGTATATCGCTTGTGTACACTTGTGCTCTGTCACGCACTACAACCGCTATAATAGGCTCACAGAGGCAGCAAATTTTGCATATCTTGTCTAAAACCTTCGGTCCACGTCCCCCCATCCCCCTCCTTTTCCCCTTTTCACCACGGCCGCAATCAAGACTTTTGCTCTCACAAAAATACACTCTAAAAAAAAAGTCTGAGCTCACGTTTTTGCAGAGGGCAGATACTGCTGATCAGTGCGCACAATAAAAAAACTCCAGCGACCGAGGAGGCTGCAACGTCATGCCCATTGTCCGTGCGCTTACCTCTCTCTTTATTTATTTATTTTTTTTTTTACTTCGTATACAATTTCTTTTAGCTTCGTGTTCTACAGAAAAGTGTACTCGCAAACGTATTTTTAGAGAGATCTGTTTGAAGTTCCTGCATGTGCGGTACGCCGCCTTGCGCTTAGAACACCAATCACCGCTCTTTCTTTAACAAGTTCAACCAATGAGAAGAGAGATCAGCAACGCGGTCCGATGGCCGCGCAGTCTCATCGCCAAAACGCGTCCACCACACTGGCCACTGAGACGGCTCCCACCGGTGACGTCGCAACCGAAAGAATGGCGCTGATTTGCATCAATAATTAGAATTTCTGCTGACTCATCATCAGTTTCCAATGACAGGGTGGGCTGTGTGCGTAAAGATCAGGATGGCAGCTTAAGCTCGTCGCCTTCTATGCAGCAAAACCGTCCAAGTTGACGATCTGACAGCATCGCCTATTTGCATCGATGAAAGCGGAATGAATCCCACTACCTACGTCAGGGCAGTGAACTCCTTGCCAATCGTGAAAAGCAATCACAGCAATGCTTTTGGTGAGCTGGTCGCACTTTCGAGCGGTTGCGTCGCTGACAACTCACGCTTGTGCACAGCGGGAGTCCGCAAAGAAAAGCACCGATGCAGAAAAGGAGCGTGAGCTCCGTGCCGAAGTCCTTCAGGCCTGGGAAGTGCTCGACGATTGCCGAAAGCACTGTGTGAATCAGAAACACCTGCCGGAAAAAAAAGAAAAAAAGAAAAAAGGCTGCTTCTGATTCGTGTCACTGAATTGTAGTATCAGCAGTGATTTACATATACACCCTTTCCCCAACATCCCCTTTAACGCACTCCAGGTTGAGTTCAACACCCCATGAGTTACAATCCTTGATAAGCCCCCGAGCATCGGCGCTCAATTCCACGACTGTCTTGTGTTATGTGTGCGGGTACGTTGTAAAAATACGATTAACTGTTAATTTAATTCCATTTACATATATTATTATATTTTGAACTAACCTCGGAGGAAAAAACAAGCACTTCCGAGTAATAATATCAAAACCGTATTGCCCTTAGGTGGTACGGGTCTATTGCGATAGCACCAGAAAACACGGATCATGCATCTAAGGGTAATAAGCTACTTTACCTTCGTTGACGAACTACATTGTGTTAAGATACCATGTAATATAGGCGCAGTAGCCTAGCTTAGGACGTTCCCCTTCTCCTGTATTTTTATTTCAATGCCATTTTTTTCCATCTCAGCTAAAGGGGAAAGAAAAGGTATACCCCCATTACTTTCTCCCTCCCCCCTCTCTCCCCTTTTTTCGGAAGTTTCCTGCGTCTGAGATATTTTAGGGTAGTGCTTACCGAAGTGTTGAGCCCAAAGAGGAACAGAGCGACAAAAAAAAGCATGCACCACATCTGAGGGAACGGCAGGTTACTCAGGGCTTCGGTGTAGTTCACGAAAGCCAGGCTTGGCACTGAAATCGTAGAAAAAAAAAAAAAAAAAAAAAAAACTCCGGTTAGTTAACGAAAACATTATTCACCAACACACCAACCTGTTTATTTGAAATATCGCTAAATCATTCCCAGGTTTGCTTTTTTTATTGAGTGAAAGAAAAGCGACTGGAATAACAGGCTTTTATTTTTTTTTCATTAAAAAAATAAAAAACAAGACACAAAATGAAAGACGTTTACAAATCTCTGTAATGCGAAATTAGAGCGCAGCTCTTGAAGAGGAGGAGGGGAGGATACGAAGGGGAGGGTATGCCCCTCCTCCTCCCCCTCCTCCCCTCTTCCTTTGCTCCTCCCCCTTTACTCGTCCCCTCCTCCTCTCCCCTCCTGCTCCTCCTCCTCCTCCTCCTCTTCGGCTCGGGACACAACATCAGATGTGTAGGGATCCAAACGACTTTCCACGCACGGCAAAATAGTGTCGAGAGTCGTGAGTGGATCACAAGCGTATGAAAGATAATACGGCAAAAATCCTGTAGTTTGTCGGGCGGTATTGTAGACGTAGGCGACAAAAGGAAGGATTGCGTCCCAGCTGGTGTGGTATTCTTCATAGACATTATGCTAGCTAATGTAAGGTTTAGTCGCTCGGTGGGCCATTAGCCTGCGGTGGTAAGCATTTGTCAGATGACGAACTGTACTTGCGAGTTGCCGGGACTTCATTGAGAAGTTTGGCAATAAAGGGCGTGCCTCGGTCACTCGCGACGGAATGCGGAGCGTCATGGCGTAACAAAATGGAGTTCAGAAAGAAGTTCGCAATTTCTCTTGCGGTAGCATCAGGAACTTGCTTAGTTTCGGCATAGCGGGTATTGTAGTCAATGGCTCCAATGACCCATCGATTGTTGTTTGGAGATGTGGGAAGCGGGCCCAAGAAGTCGATTCCGACTCTTTGGAAGGAATGGCTAGGTGGGGAAAGCGAGTGAAGTGTACCGGGCGTATTTGTCGTTGCGTGTTTTCTCGTTTGGCACTCGCGACAAGATCGGACGTATTTGTTGATAGCACGATACATTTTGTTCCAGAAGTAGCTGGCTTGGAACTCGAAAATAGGTTTTGGAGAAGCCGAGATGCCCGGCAGTTGGGTCGTCGTGATTAGCGCGAATAATGTCGTTTTGAGGGGAACGGGGAATGGCAAGAGGCCTCGAACGTCCTTGCGGTTCATAGTTTTGCCTGAACAGCGTTCGTGGCGTTGGGAAGCGCAACTAGACGCGCTATGCGTGTTGTATGAGGTGGATGTGTTATATATATATATATATATATATATATATATATATATATATATATATATATATATATATATATATATATATATTTATATATATATATATATATATATATATATATATACATGCGTGTGTGTGTGTGTTCTTAATCTTTTGATGTAGATAGGCTTGTTTTTAAACGTCTCCTTCTATCACTACGGCTAGCGTCATTCGCACAAGGAGTCCCATCTTTCTGCGCAATTCATTTATGCTGGCAAAAAAAAAAGGAAAGAAGGTTTTATTACTGTTCTTTTTTTCTTTTTTATCGGACGATCTGAAGTTTGTTTCCGAAGGTCATGCACCATGGCGATTTGGAAATTTCGACAAGAACCGACCAACAGGGTGCGGAAGTCCAAAACCACATACGTCTCTTCGATAAAGCGATGCTCGGAGGGGCTTGCGGCCTGTCGAGTTGAACCGCGCCCTTCACGTTTAACATATGTTGCGAAAGTCTATTTCCGAGATAATAATGTAATCCTCAGCCATCTTTTTTTTTCTTTTTTTCACAGGCAATTTGTTATTTGAACAGAAAGTGACGGCTTTATTTGTTGAAGCGATAAATATCAAGTTCTTGCGGGAAATAATGGCGGGAAAAAAGAAAAAAAAAAGAAGCTAATCCAAGCGAAATATCCCGCTGTTCACAAACACGCCCGCATTTGCCCACACCAGGTGTGGGCACATTGCGTGCGCAGAAACCAAATTAGCGCAAGATGAACGGTCTGCGCATGCGCACTCCCGGCAGCAGCGCTACCGTAGGGGCGTGACGTCAAAGTGTGGCCAATGCCTTGTCCTGCCTTCCTGCTTTTCGTTGCTTTCCGTCCCTCATTCGTTAACCCAATCAGAATGATTTACTTTGTCGAGTTACTGCAGGACAACCTACGTTTTTTAAACAATTGGCGCCGTAAAGCAGGGACAAAAAAAGAGGGACACAACACGAAGCGCTACTTTCAACTGAATAATAATAATAATAATAATATAGACCGTCCATAACCCTATTAGTTTGCTCGCGTAAAAATTCAATTTCATTATTGGATAGGGTAACATGACGGTGCACTTATACATCTGCTGTCGCCCTGCAATCTAATGTTATATGATTCATACACTTTTAATTTTTTTTTTTTTCTAAGACCGGTGCGGATGGGCATTTATCGCAATGTGCAGCCAACTTGCCCGAGGGGAAATGATTTATAGCTACTGCTACAAAGCATGTACGCGTTACTGAAGAAAAAGTAATCGATTACAATTACAGTCACTTTTTTTACACAATGTAACTGATTACAGTAATCAAGTACCGTATCAAAAGTAATAAAACAATTACCAGAAAGTAATTTATTACCTTTAGCGTTGTTTTTTTAAACTTTGTATTACGAAATGAAAAATGCATACATAAGTTCAAAGTAGTTACATTTTGCTTCTGTTTGTCTCTTTCTCGAAAAGGAATTGCGTGCAAGCGTGCGTGCGCCTGCGCGTGCGTGTGTGTGTGTGTGTGTGTGCGTGTGTGCGCGCGTGTGCGTGTACGTGTGTGTGTGCGTGCGTGCGTGTGTGTGCGTGCGTGCGTGCGTGTGTGTGTGTGTGTGTGTGTGTGTGTGTGTGTGTGTGTGTGTGTGTGTGTGTGTGTGTGTGTGTGTGTGTGTGTGTGTGTGTGTGTGTGTGTGTGTGTGTGTGTGTGTGTGTGTGTGTGTGTGTGCGCGCGAATACATGTGAATTCTTAGAGCTGCGCTTTAAGAATTCACATATCTTCGCGCCTAAAAACACGAAGAAAATTTAAGCGTAATTTTCTTATGTCTTGGGAAGAAGAAGTAACGACTAATTTTGGTGTGTTACCAGTTATTGTTTTGAAAAGTAACGGGTACGTTATGAATACAAGCATAAGCTAATTTCAAGTGAACAATTGTAAATAAATAAATATATAATGTAAAGATAAAAGTGCAAGGAAGAAAAAACAGATGTGTTTTATACGTAAATAAAAATTGTACATTTGCAAATCACAGCACATTTTATATATGTACTTCAAATGTATTTGAAAACATTGTATATAAGTAAAACATATATCTTTATAGGCAGCAATTAACTATAAAATGCACAATAAAATAGGAGGTAGAAGAAATTATACGTAAAGAGACCTTAGGTTTCGAAAAGTTGTACGAAACAAATCGCTGTTGATGGCTATATGGGCATTTAGAACTTTTGGCAGTGTGTATTTGAGCATTTGGAATCTATAATTTGTTCTGCATACGTTCACCTTCCAGTATTCGATGTGAAGGGTTATGTAGGAAGGATCATTTCTGTTTAATAAAGAGAGGGATGTTAAATTAAGGATGTTTCGTCTCGATTCCGACAAAAAAGCTGCGGCTCAGCCTATAAATATAAATATCAGAAATTCTGATAATAACAAGTCGCTGAAATAAGGGCAAAGTATGGGAATCAGGAGGAGTACAACAAACGTAGCGTACAATCTTCTTTTGGTGTAAATGCAATGTTTCTAGGTTTGCATATGCACTGTTGTGTCCCAGGCAAGATGGCAGTAACTGGAATCCGAGTAAAATAGGGAGTTATATAGTAATAGATTAACCTTGACTGGAAGTATTAAGCTATGTAGTTCAACCGTCCGGGTCAATTTCGGCGCAACATAATCTACATATGCTCGTTCCAAATCATATGCTCCGAAAATATTACTCCTGGAGTTTTAAAAAAAGATTGCGAAATATCAATAACACGTGAATAGTATAACAACTGTTTCGTGGTTTGTGGTAGTTCACTTTTGGGGAGAAATAAAACGGCTCTAGTTTTTGTAGAGTTAACTTTCAAAAAGTTATTGAAAGCCCATTTAGACAGCTTTGCTGGAGTATTATTTGTCATGTCTATAACGTCGTCACCTTTATGATCGAAAAAAAAAAGAGGTAGTGTTATCTACGCTTATAACAAACTTTGGTTCTAAGCTGACACTAGTTGTATAATTAATATATACATATATATATATATATATATATATATATATATATATATATAAGGGTTTTTCTTCTCAGTTTTATAGCCAGTTATAAGGGTTTTTTTCTTCTCAGTTTTATACCCACGCCTTCGGCCTCCCGCCACCATGCCCGTTATATATATATATATATATATATATATACATTAAACAGAAGTGGACCAAGTATGCTCCCTTGTGGTAACGACGGAAGAATTGGTTTCACCTGTGAAGAGTATCCAATTAGGTGGACGAACTGCTGTCGATGCAGTAAATAGGAATTAAGTAAAGAGAGGGCGTGTTCCCGTATCAGGAGTATTCACTACGCGTCGTATTTGTGGGTGCTGTCTAGAGCGCACGCTCAGAACGAGCCCCCGTAAATAGGTTGCAAAGACCGGCAATCTTGAGGGGGGTGGGGGATGCACGTCACAAAAGAACTGTGGAAGCTCGCCATCAGCACGCGCTCAGCAGTCGCGCACTCAGCTATGACCGCCAGTGAATACTTCCCATAGGAGTACAAAGGCTGATGAGGTTATGTCTAATCTTATTACTGCAGACTTTGACGTTATTTGTTTATCGGAAACCTGGCTCTGCGATGGCATTCCGAATTCGAATTACTTCACACCTAACTACAATGTCGACCGCCGCGACAGAGAAAGCACGGGGCAAAAGCTAGGTGGTGGCGTATTGATTGCGCTTCACTCTTCGCTTGAGTCACATCGAAGATTCGACCTTGAATCGTATTCAG